CTCCATAGCAAGTTCATAGGAGAGCACAGAGCTAGCTGCCCCTGTGAGTTTCTGGGCCTTTCGCTGTTTACCGGAGTGGTAAGCCCCATTTTCTCCCGAGGAGCGGTTGGTGGTTTGGAACTGCTGACCTTGCAGTTAGCAGCCCAACATGTAACCACAAGGCCCCTGGGACTTCTCAGAGTATCCAGTATGCCTAAAACGATGGCAGTCTGGACTGATGATCCACAGGGTTAAAATTCTGCTGGATGGATTTAATGGGATGGTCTGTTATCTCTATTTGAGCCACTGGCATCTCCAGGGCTCTCGTTTAGAAGGTTGAGGCCTGAAGCGTGTAAGTTATATGCAAATACAGAGAGTCAGAGGAATCTGGGATCATTCTCTCTGCGCTTTCCATTGGAACCCTTTGTGGGCCTGGGTGGTCTGTCCTGTCCATTCTCCCTCCAAAATGTCTCTTGATTTTATCACTGTGGTAATGGAGCAAAGTGCTGAGACTCCCGCAGAGGGGGTGGACCAATGGCTTCTGTCTCATTATCCTCACCTCTACAGCCAAAAAGGCTCCCACCAAGGTCAACCCCTTTCCGGCTCAGCAGGGCACTCTGCGGTGCAGCAGCCTCTGCATGGGATCTTGCCACACCCTGCTCCCAAACCTTTGTGCTTTTATAACAAAGGCCCATGTCCTCTGTCCATACCTATACTTGAGCCCTTGTGGCCTGTTGTTGTTAGTTGCCCACCAGTTGGCTGATGAGCTGTGGTGACCCCTGCAAAGTGGGACTGGCCCCTTGTGGCCCCCAGGTGTGTCTGGCCTTCCTTCCCAGTCCATCTTACCTGGAAGGGCTGCTGAAATAGTCTCAGCAACACACAGCCCACCATCTACAGACAGCTTGGAGACTATGCAGCGGAGCACTGGCTGGGAGCGGAACCCAGAGCCCCAACATGGAAGAGGAGAAGTCTACACTGGCCCACCAGCGCACACAGGAAACTCTCAGAAAGCCTATGTTTTCTTCTGCAATAAGAGACACTAGCTTCCTAATTATTGGCTTGTGGCATATTTTAAATAGACCCATTCTTCCTTCTAAGATTTATCTAAGTGATTTTTTTCTTCTTCTCTTTTTTAGAATGTGTATATGAAGTACTGGTCCACACAGAACTTGGGCTTGGAATCCCTGACTGATGGATCATTTAAACAAAAAGGTCTCTTCTGATAGGCAGAATATACGAAGCATGAGCAGGCCCTCCTCTTAGAATGGACCTGTCTCCTCTGGGGTGGCGCTCCCCCTCCCTGCCTCCTTGAGGGAGCACGCAGGGTGGCCGGCTTGGTAGTATGTGCTGTGGCTGCTGTAAATCTGATGGTTCCTTTCTCTCCTGTGATGTGCCGTGGCCTTTAGGAGGTAGGTAAAGACACAGAACAGAATCTGCTTTCTTTCTGATGGATCTTTTTCTGCTCTGGAAAGCTTCTGCCAGCTGGGGACAACAAAAGCCCCCCCGTTCCTTGCCAAACTCAGGGAGCCCCCAACTACCCAGAGGAAGACATTTCGATGAAAACAGGTGGGCACTGATTTGGTCCGAGAAAGGAATGTTCTGTCTTTTTGGTGGTCTTTCTATATTAGAAATTGTAGGTACTTTAAACTTAATCTGCTGAATAAATGTGTCCACAGGTCCACCAAAGCCAGCTGATAGGGCTGCGTGGTGGGAAGAGACCAAAAAAAAATCATGGTCCTCTGGTTTGTAGAAGGTTAGGGATGACAGTGAGAGCCCAAAACCCATTTGCAGGGTCTCCACGTGGATGAAGCCTCT